AATTCATAAACTGGAAAGCAGTGGTGCTCAACGTTGGCTGTGCATTAAAATGACTTGGAGGGTTTAGGAAATCCCGATGCAAATCTCAGGCTGAACCCAGATCACTTCAATCATGACTTCTGGAGGTGGGATCCAGGCATTGGTTAATTGTTAAAGTTCCCAGGTAATTCTATTGGACAGTTCCAATGAGAATCACTGATCTAAAATAATGATCCATTGGATTCCAGGTGGTTGTGGAAAAAGTAGATTTGACCTGAGGCAGATCTTGGGGCCATTTTTAAAAAACGCCCATTAGTCTAAGAAATGGAGCTAAAGGTTAGCGTTGACCAGCCCTGGAGTGAGATGCAGCTGGCCCTCTGTATCTGCAGATTCCAAATCCGTGAATTCAACCAACCACGGATTGAACATATAAAAAAAAAAAAAAATTCCAGAAAGTTTCAAAGAGCAAAGCTTGAATTTACTGAGATTCTGATAACTATTTACATAGCATTTACATTGTATTTACCAGTATTTACGTATCATTACAGTGTATTATATATTATAAGCAATCTAGAGATGATTGCTTATAATATGTATAAGCAAGAAGTATATGGATGTCAGTAGATTATATGCAATCACTATGCCATTTTCTGTAGGAGACTTTTATGGATGTAGGTAGATTATATGCAGTCACTATGCCATTTTTGTAAGAGACTTGAGCATCCTTGGATTTTGGTCAATAGCATGATGAACAGTGAAGACAGTTTAAGAAATATTTGTCTACTTATAGGTCCATGATAAGCAGCTCAGGAGAGACTAGCCCCAGATCTTTTCCCAAAGAGATCTTATTTGGGAAGATAAGGGAAACACATCCGATGGAGTGAATGTTTCTGGACTTTAGGTAGGCCCTGAAAAAGCAGTCAGGATGCCTCTGCATCAGCTGTGGGCTAATTTTATCTCATCTGATTTTATTATCCATGACTTTTTATGAGCCCATGATTGACTGAATACACCCAAATAATAATTAGAGCCTGGAGAGCGATTCTTTTTTTTTTTTTTTAAACAAAAGATTGTTTTATGCCACTAAATTTTGGGGTGGTTTGTTATATAACAAGAAACAAATGTATTAGCTGCCCAAGCTTCAAACATGGGAGGCATAACAGGGTACTTACTGTTCTTGTCCATTTCCAACTTGTTTCACTTCTATCAGCAGTGGTTAAGCTGCCGCCCTGTTGGTGGTGCAGAGCTGCACCGGGGTGGCAGAGGTGGGGTGCATAACAAAGACATCGCATAGCAGGGGAGAGAGGGTGGGCAAAGCATTAAGAGATGAACAGATAAATGTAAAGCTCTTTACTTCCCCACAGACCCCTCTCGGATGGTCCCCCACTCCAAGAAAAAATTCAAGCCCAAAACCCCAAACCTGACCGCCTAAGTCCACGATGGGAGAAAAATGATTAAACAGCAGCCTCTGCCAAAATGATGATGAATTCTATATGAATCAGCCGAGTGACTCAGCAGCTAAATAAAAGCTTATCTCGAGTGTCTGGGCAAGGGAGCAGGTGGTCCCACTCTGCTCTGTGGTCAGTCCTCACTGGTATTGGCAGGCCCAGGGTTCGAGAGAGGCAAGGTCCGGAAGGCCAAAGGGCTGGGGAAGAATCTTGCACTCAGTGACAACGCAGGCAGCGACAAGCCCGGGGCACCACTGGGAGAAGTGACTAGCTGCCTTCAGATATCCGAAGGGCCAGCAGCCAGGAGATGGATTAGGTTTTCTCTGTGTGGTTCCAGGGGACAGAGCTGGGCTTGGGGTTGTCCCTTGCAGGAGCCAGACTTTGACTCAACCAAGTCTACACACAGCTAACTCTGTAGACGGTTTTACTAGACAATTGCTCCCATGGAGGTAGTGAGCTCCCTGTTGCCAGGGGCATTCAAACAGAGGCAGGGTGACCACCTGATGGGAATGTGGCAGCGGTGGCATCAAGTAGTTAAGAATGGGCAGTTAAGAATCAAGTAGTGGAATCTAAAAAAGGGTACAAATGAACTTATCTACAAAACAGAAATAGAGTTGCAGATGGACAAAGCAAACTTATGGTTACCGGGGGGAAAGTGGGGAAGGGGTAAGTTGGGAGATTGGGATTGACATATACAAACGACTATATATAAAATAGATAACTAATAAGGGCCTACTGTAGAGCACAGGGAACCCTATTCAATACTCTGTAATGGCCTATATGGGAAAAGAATCTAAAAAAGAGTGTATATATGTATATGTATAACTAACTGGTTCACTTTGCTGTACACCTGAGACTAAAAAGAGTGTAGTATATGTATAACTAACTGGTTCACTTTGCTGTACACCTGAGACTAACACAACACTGTAAATCAACTATATGCCAAAAACCAAAAAACCAGAATCAAGTATTGGGTGAGGGCTGTACCAACTGGCATCTGTGATTTACTTAGACTACTTAAAATCCAGTGATGCATTTACGGTGAACTCTTTTCCTTAAAGTTTAATCTTCCGAGCCTTGTGTGCTTAGCAGCGAGCTAGAGTCATCAAGTGATCTTTCCCAGAGGACCGCAGTCATGGCTGTGAATCATGTTATTTTCTCCCAAACCCTTCTTCCTCTCCTTCCTTCCCCTGCTTCAGCCGACTAAGGCAGATCTCCTTGCCTTGTCCTCCAAAGTCCGATTTTTAAAAATATAATTATTACAGATTTGTGCCTCCTGTGCCAGATGCTGGGGGAGCTGCAGAACAGAAAAGTTACAAGGAGCGTGCTCAGAGAGACTTCTGGCCTTGGGCACTGATAAGATGCTAAGGAAGAGGCAGTTGCCATAGAAAATGTAGCTGTTACTGATATTCGACTTTTTTTTTTTTTTTTTTTTTTTTTTTTTGCGGCACGCGGGCCTCTCACTGCTGCGGCCTCTCCCGTTGCGGAGCACGGGCTGCGGACGCGCAGGCTCAGCGGCCATGGCTCACGGGCCCAGCCACTCCCAGGCATGTGGGATCTTCCCAGACCGGGGCTCGAACCCGTGTCTCCTGCAACGGCAGGCGGACTCTCAACCACTGCGCCACCGGGGAAGCCCAATAATTCGACTTTTTAAGGAAGATAAAGTGAAGCCTCAGGGGAGAAATGTTGTTCCCAATTGTCGATTGATTTTTTTTTCCTTCTGAGCTGATGATCTTCTCCCACCTGGCATTGCCTTGGGTTAGGGTGAAGGGGGCCTCAGAGATGATACATTCCAGATTCCTCATTGTCCAAGAGGAAGAAACTGAGAACTCAGGGGTGGGGGTTAAAGTCTTTGGTCCAACCAAGGTCACCCAGAGCCTCGGGACAGAGCTGAGACTGTGGTCAGAATTCCATGCGCCCAGCTCAGGTCCTCTCCCCATCCCCTTTTTTCTCACAGGCCTAGAAGCTCCCTCTGTGCTCCTTCCTGAAAAGGGTGGGGTCCTAGTTGCCCCTGGACCTTGGGCGACCAGGGACTGGGCCTTAGGCTGTATCTCAAAAGTTGTGACCAGGACAACTCAGCCCCTGGCCATAGAGCTCTCCTCTGAGCCCTTCATCTTGCTGGGTTTCAGTAGGCCAGCAAACCAAGCTGCCTATACCTGCCCTGCCAACCCATCTCCCCCAGCCAGTATAAGAACCACCCTCCAGTCCCTGGACCTTTCTCCTGGGACTCAAACATCCTAGGGTCAGAGTGCGTGGCTCCGTTTCTCCCCCAAGAATTAGCTATGCCTGAGGGGCTTCTCAGTTAGTCCCCTCCCCGCCAGGGCGTGGTGTGACGCCTCCTATCCCTGTGCCACGTCAAAGCCCCCTGCCAAAAAAAGTCCTTTGACAGGGCTTCCCTGGTGGCGCAGTGGTTGGGATTCGGCCTGCCGATGCAGGGGACGCGGGTTCGTGCCCCGGTCCGGGAAGATCCCACATGGCGCGGAGCGGCTGGGCCCGTGAGCCATGGCCCCT